GGATATAGCTCGCTAGCAGCCTCGCACCGAGGACCTATCCACGTCATCATTTACCCAGAATGCTTTGTGTGCAAATAAAATGGATCTATCCGTGTTAAAATATATTTAAAAAAATTACAAAAACTAAACTAAAATATTTTACAGTCTTTATTTTACAGTTAAATAAATGTTTATCATATAAAGTCTAATGTAGTTTGACATTGTGAATAAATGAAAAGGGACTGACTGTTGGTCGGTGTCTGTCCTCAGAAACTGGTAGGTGAGGTGTTCAACATTGTGAGCCAGCAGTCCACTGCCAGACCTGGATGTATCATCGAGTTGGACGTCATCACGAACCAGGTTAGCTGCTCCCACATTTACCAAAGGTTATTTAGTGCTAAAGGGTTTGAAACAGTTTAATAAATAAATGTAAACCTGGTTCTGTGGCTCCAGTGTGGCTCCAACACTCAGCTGCTGCACGTCTTCCAGGAGGATTTTATTTTAGGTTACAAACCTCAGAAAGAACCAGAGGCCTTCACACCAGCCTTTCCCACTGGAGAAGGTATTCTCACAGCTCAAGTCTGTAAAATGTGTTTTTATTTTAAATATTATCAGGTAAAAATCATTTTTACTCCTCAGATTTTCAACCTGCTCCATTTTCTGAGAAGTTCTTCCTGGTGGTGATAGAGAAGGATCTGAACAGGAACTCTGTCCTGCAGATGTGGCACCTGCACCTGCAGTCTGTGCAGGCCTGTGTCGGTGAGTCCACACCTGAGCTGCTCAAACTAACAAACATGACGCAAATTCGTTTCACTCAAGACAACCCCTGATTGTTTCCTGTATTTATCCTGTCTGAATGGCGTTACATTTGTGCCACCAGCTCGAGCGTGCACTAACACTGATTGAGAGCAGATATCAATATCAACAAACAATAATTTGAAATGTGTGCGTTCAAACCACACACTCACTCATGCAGCTCCCTCCCTGCTTGCTCAACTCTCTTCCTCCCTACTCGCAACCTGATCTCTGCTCGCTCGCAGCTCTGTCTCTGCGCTTGCAACCCAAGTTTTATGTAAATGAACCACATCAGCAGCCAATCACAGACAAGGTTTTATTTTCATCCAATCAAAGCACTGATTGCAAATCTACTAAACAAAGAGGCGGAAGTGACAAAATCTTGATTGTATTGAATCAGCAAAAGATTTTAATATGTTTAAATTTTGTAGACCAAGAATATTTAGTTAAGCATAAAAATGCAGTCATTGTCATTGTGTATTTTAGAACAGAGCTTCCCAAACTTTTTATCTTCTGACCCACAAAATATCCATGGCAAAAACTTGTGACCCCAAATATTACTGGTCTGAGTACACAAACTTCATTAATAACC